CTGTGTCAGGCACAGTTCCTCTCCTCAAGGAGCTCAAACCCCAGCAGGAAAGATGGGCAGAAACTCATTCCTTCAGCAAACAATGAATAGTGCTGTAAGAAAGAAATACCTGTATGACCTGTTACTAATGTTATAGAACAGAGTGCTTATGTATTCAAACACTTAGGAAGTTATCACTAATAAATGACATTGATCTGTGTCTAGAATTGAAAGGAAGTTTCCATATGGAAAGGGCATCACCTGACAGGAAAGACAGCCAGGAAAGGCAAGTTGAGGTAAGAGCCCTTAAAAATTATGGAATTTGGACATGGTTTCCAGATACTAAGAGTCATGGAGAGTATTTGAGGGTCACCAGGCAGGGTCATTTCTGAGAAAGCTCTTCTGGGAAGCACACCCAAAAACAGTAGGCAAAATATAAAAGATGCCATTTTGCAATGCCTAGATGAGCTTCTGTAATCATAAAGGAGTCTCTAGAAACCAATGACAAAAAACTCAAGAAGTTATGGAGATTTAGAATGGACTTTTGCCTTGTAGTGTCTACTAATTCCTGGTGGCCTAGAATGTCAATTTCATAGTCATGCTTAGTGACAGGACACAAACCTGATGCCAGGGCAGAAATGTGATCAACACAACAAGGAAAATGGAAGTAAACAGTGAGGTACAAGGATAAAATAACTAAATTAAAATTAAAGATACAAGACAGAGCATCAATACAGCTAAAAGTTGGTTCTATGATGAAACTAATAAAGAATATATCTCTGACAAAAATAAGAAGAGAGAGAGAAAGTAAAATATACAATGTGAGGAATGAAAGGGGTGCTTATTAGTGATGCAACACATGCTAAAGAGATGGTAGGAGAACATTATATAAACTTAAAAACAGTACATGTGAATGATTCACTGAAATGAACACATTTCTAGAAAAATGTTATCAAAATACACAAAAACCTAGAAAACCTAAACAGCCTTAGAACTCACTCAAGAAACTAAAAACATGGATTGAAATATTCTGCAAAGAAAAAGACCTTATTGAAATATTTCTTTTGATACATTCTATCAAGCAGCTAAGGATCAAATTATTTCTTTCTTTTAGAAAAGAGAAAAAGAAGAATTGCTTTCTACCATATTGGATGAGGCTGGCACCTCCTTTACACCAAAACCACACAGAGTCAGTTTGAAACATAATTATGAGTCAATTTCACAGGAATGATGAAAAATACTAACCTACATTAACAAAGTAAATCCAGGGATATATGAAAAAGATAATACATTATCACCAAATGGTGATTATTCCAGAAATGCAAAGTTGATTCGACATTAGAAAATTACAAAATTAATTCATTACATTAAAAGATTAAAGGAGAAAATCAAAATCTCCCCCATAGATGCAGTAAAAGCATTCAATAAAACTCAATACCCACTTAATAAAACTCTGCAAGCTAGAAATAGAAGAAATTTTCTTTATTCTGGTAAACAACAGCTGCAAAAGCACATACAGCGATCATAAGATTATCTTTAAGTTCAAGAATGTGACAGAATTGCTTTCTGTCACTACTTCTATTCAGCATTGCACTGGAGAGTCTTACAATAAGACAAGAAACAGTAATAAAAGTTAGAAGAAAGGAAAGAAAAGGAAAAAATACCACTATCATGATTCAAAAATAATATTACTGTCTACAATTTAAAAGTCTAAAGACAAATTGTTAGACCATATAAGAAAATGTAATGAAGTTCATATATGCAAGTGGAACATGAATTAAACTGCAATCTATACATCCCAACACAAGGTAATTTTTAAAATACTGTTGACAATAACGTCTGAAAACATAAAGTACCTAAGGAATAAATCCAACAAGATATATAGGACATTTGAGTAGGATATTATAAAACTTTATTGAAGAAATATAAGGGCTTAAATGCAAAGGCATACTATGTTCATAGTTAATCCTAAAGATTTTTATTCTGCCAAATTGACATTTAGATTCATTATGATTCACAACAAACCCCAACCAGAACGTATTTCTGCTTTTGGTAAAATACAGTGGCTGTACTTTTTGCTCTAAATGCAGTATAACTAAAAATCCTAAACACACACACACACACACACACACACACACACACACACACACACATACCAGAACACTCTGCAGGTAGAGAGAAGAAGGCAGACTGGCCAAGAAACACAGGACCTGAGGTATAATATGGTGATAAGATCCTTGGGTTTTCTTTTTGCTCGTATATCCCAAACTTGGAACTGGAGAAACCAATAAAACAGTAATGTCAGTGGTCACGGACCAAAAATGCCTCCAAAATGCCTACTGGTCCAAAGACAAAGGAGCAGCCTAGCAAGACAGAAAACTTTTGAACATCAACCACTGTACTTCTGACAAACAATACAGAAAAATTGGTAACCCCACCCCCACCCCAACAGCAAAGGCCAACCTAATAACTTGAACTTCTACTTTTGCCAAGCTGGAAATAGGTACCTAACATCCTGCTGGGTTAATATCAGGGAAGAACAAGTAGGCCTTCATAGAAGGCCACAACATTTTTCCCACTGGCTGGATTAGATTTCCCCCTGTGCTGACAGTGGAGACTACGTAGGGGGAGCCTGGACTTGTATCCCTATCATCCTCTCCCCACTGAGGTAGTATCTGAAGATGTCCACTGGAAATTCAGAACTTCCACCATTGCCCCACTCTGGACACAGTTTGGCAGTTTCTTAAGAAACTAAGTGATGGTATGCAGTAACCATACAACCCAGCAATTTCCCTGTTGAGCATTTATCTGGTGATAAATGAAGACATATGTTCACACAAAAACCTGCACACAAGTGTTTACAACAGTGTTATTTGTAGTAGCCCCAAACTAGAAATGACCCACATGTCCTTCAAAGGGTGAATGTTAAACAAACTATGATACATCTGTACCAAGAAGTAAATAATAATTCAACAATTTAAAAAATTGTTATACCTGGAACAACTTCAATAAATTTCCAGACAATTATACTGAGTTAAAAAAAGAAATCCCCAAATGTTATATACTGTATGGTTCCATTTGTATAACAGTCTTGAAATAACAAGATTATAGAAATGGAAAATGGACTAGTGGCTATCAAGGGTTAAGGAAAGGGTGGAAGCAAGAGGGAAGTGGGTATGACTGTAAAATGGCAATATGAGTGATCTTTGTGTTAGGGAAATGCTTTACATCTTGAATATCAGTGTCAATATCCTAGTTGTGATATCTACTATACTTTTACAAGATGTTTTCACTGGGGAAAACTGGGGAAATTGTACATGGGATCTATGTATTATCTCTGTATGTAAATCTACAATTATCTCAAAATAAAACGTTTAATTGAAAAAAAAGCAGGTTTTTCGTGAAACTTGACAAACTGATTTTAAATGAATATAGAAAAACAAAATAATAGTATAAAGGAGCAATGCCAGGGAAATGTCAGACTAGGAAACCACAGGGCTTCATCCTTTTCTAAAAGCAACTAATAAACTAGCAAAAATGGTCAGAATCAACTTTTAAAAAATTTGGAAAACCAGTTAAAAAACTTACAACAACCAAGGGATGACTTGATAAAGAAAGAAGCTTCTATATCTGGTAGGAAAGTGGTACAGGAGTGGTGTGGCATTTTAAAGTGCCTGTGTACCATCCTTCACACCCCAAACTGCAGCAGCCGTGAGAACAGCAGCCTGTACTCCCGATGCAGGTTGCCAGTGCCAGAGGGAGCAACACAAACCTTATTTTTAAAGAATTATGGTGTGGGTTTCACCCTGTCTGGTAGTTTCATCAAAGACCAGCACAAAAGCTTCCTTGTGTTTCACCCAACTCAAGTGTCCAGAGCTGGGATGCATACTAGAAAAGGCCTGAGAAAACCTAAGCTTTAACCTCTGAGTACCGTTTGATCTCCACTCATGTAGGAAGTGGTTGCTAAGGCAGAGTTTTAAACAGCCTGGCTAAGGATTGAAGAAGTGCCCAAACACAAAGCAAATCTACAAAGACTGAGATAATTTTATATTTTTATTTTTCTTCTCCCTCTCCTCCTCTCCTTTTTTACCTCCTCCTCCTCCTTCTTTTTTTTTTTTTTTTTTTCAGTGCCGAGTGTCTAAGGTACCTCTGTGAAAACACAAGCTGGCCACTAAGCTAGTAGAACGTAAACTTCAATGGCTACATATGATAAAGAAAAAAAAAAAAAAAAACACACTCAGAGAGACTTAAAACTAGTTTAGAAAATTTACTGAACAAGTAAACAACCACAACCCATACCAAGCAGGAAAAATAAACCTCAAGGAAGAGGAAAGAATCTGATTTTCAGACTTGCCATATTTTAATATTCAAAATTAATATTAATATTAAAAAATTAATAGAAACTGTTCATGGAGATACCCAGCCATTAGACCTATTGGAAGAAGGCTTTAAATAAACTATTACATAAGCTTAAAGAAGTAAAGAAAGCATAAAAAATAACTTAAGGAAATGAGATAAATGCTGTCTCAACAAATAGAGAATAGCATGACACACAGCTGTAGTCCCAGATACTTGGGAGACTGAGGCAGGAGGACTGCTTGAGACTAGGAGTTTGAGGCTGCAGTGCACTATAATCGTGCCTGTGAATAGCCACTGCATTCCAACCTGGACAACATAGTGAGGCCTCATCTCAAAAAAAATAGAGAGAGAGAGAGAATGTGTCAATAAAGACATAAAAATTGTAAAAGGAAATCACATAGAGGTTCTGGAGTTGAAAAATTCACTAGAGGTTTTCAGCAACAGATTTGAGCAAACAGAAGAACTGATTAACTTAAATATAAGTCAACTGAGATGAACAAAAGAGAAGAGAACCTGAAAGAATGAGGAAAAATGAGCATAGCCTAACAAACTATGGGGCACCAACAAGATACTAACTACACAAAATGGTAATCCCAGAGGGGAGGGGAAGAGAGAAAGGGACAGAGAGAATTCTTGAAGAAAGTGTGGCTGAATATATTCCATTTTTTTTTTTTTTTTGCAAACAAATACTTTTTAATGGGTTTAAAGTTTTTTTTTTATTTTTTACAAATATACTGGAGAATCATGCAATGCTGCAAGCATTGGATGCAATCCGGGGCCACAAGTCTACACACTCCTTTGCTACTGGTCCTGTTATGGCAGAACCTTTCATCTTGCCTTTATTGCTCACTATGACCCCTGTATTATCTTCGAAATAAAGAAACATGCCATCTTTTCTATGATATGACTTTCATTGTCAAATGACCACTGCTGGATGTACCTTTTTTCTGAGCTCTGGTTTGCTTTTCTTGACTGTGACCATCACCATGTCACCCACACCAGCAGCAGTCCTTTGATACCCTTTCACGGAGATGATATACGGGTTTTTGGCTCCTGTGTTGTCAGCACAATTGATCACAGCTGCTACCGGAAGACACAGAGAAATCTGGAATTTTGCATCAGAGGACCCAGCACGTCCTCACTTTGATATCTTGAACGCCGGAAAGAAGAAAAAAGGGATATATTCCAAATTTAATGAAAGATATGAACCTACACATCCAAGAAGCTCAATGAACTCTATGCCTGTGGAAGATAAACGCAAAGAGATTCACACCAAGGCATATGATAACTAATTTTTCAAAAGATGAAGGCAGAATTTTGGAACAGCACAAGAGAAGCAACTCATCCCATACAAGGAATCCTTCATAAGACCATAAGCTGATTTCTCTTCAAAAGTCAGGGAGGCCAGAAGGAATGGGATGAAATGGTTACATATTTAAAGTGCCGAAAGAAAAAAAAAATCTGTCAACCAAGAATTTAATATCTGGCAAATCCATACTTTAAAAATGAAGGGAAAATCAAGATATCAGATTTTAAAAACCTGAGGGAATTTGTCACTAGACTTGCCCTACAAGAAATGCTAAAGGAAATTCTCTAAGCTGAAATGAAAGGACACTAGAAAGTAACTTGAAACCATATGAAAAAATAAAGAACAACAGTAAAGAAAGCCATATAGTAAACATAAAAGCCAGCAGTATGGAGATAAACCCTAGACCAGTGGAACAGGACAGAGATCCCAGAATCAGATCTATGCACCTAGACAGAAATCTGATAAATGAAAGAATAAGCATTTCAAATCAGTGCCAATGGGACAAATTTATCAATAAACTATGCTGGTACAATTGATTATATATATGGAAAAAAATGTAGTAGTATCTTCCACCCTATAATTAATTCTAGATGGATCAATAACTTAAATAAGAAAAGAAAGACTTTAACTTTAAAAGGGAACATAAGAAAATGTATTTATCACTTCAGGGTAATAAATAATTTTAAAGTAAACAGAAAGCACAAACCAAAACAGAAAATACTGGTGAGGGATTACTATCTGAAATCAGTTTTTAAATCCCGTGAATTAAAAATTTAAAAGTCAAACAACCTGCCGGGTGCAGTGACTCATGCCTGTAATCCTAGCATTTGGGGAAGTAAAGGCAGGCAGATCGCTTGAGCTCAGGAGTTCAAGACTAGCCAGGCCAACATGGGGAAAACCTGTCTCTACAAAAAATGCAAAAATTAGCCAGGAAAAAAAAATTCAAACATTTTTCTCACTAAAAATGAAAAAAGATACAATGAATAGTTTTTCACAGGAGATGGAGAGTAAACATGAGAAATTCTCAATGTCAATTGTGATGAAGGAAATGTGTATTAATTCTACCATGAAATACCATGTCACATCTAAATAGACCGCAAAAATTAAAGTCTAAAAATGCCAGGTATTTGTAAGGTTGGTAGGTTGGTGCAAAAGTAATTGTAGTTTTTAACCACTACTTTTAATGTCAAAAACCACAATTAACGTTTGCACCAAACTAACATATGGACCAAGGGAAACTCCCATACACTGCTTGTATAGAGTAAATTGGTAAAATCACTTTGGAAAACAAGTTGGAATTATTTGGAAATAGTGAATTTATGCATACCCAATACCACTTCTAGGTATACATCTTAGAAAAACACTTGAATACATGAACATGGAGGAAACCTATGCAAGAACATTTATAGTAACATTTTTGTGATAATAAATCAATCCAAATACCCAATAAAAGAAGAATAAAAAAATTAATTGGGATGCATTCTTGAAATGGAATAATATGCAAGAGTGAAAATACAAAAATTACGGACATATGCATCAACATAAATAAGTTCTCAAAGACATACGAGTGAAATTAGCAAGTTGTAGAATAATACATTATAATTTCTTTTATACAAAGTTCAAAAACAGGCAAAATGAAACAACACTGTAACATTTTTATTTAAACATATGCATATAATCTCTACATAGATTAATATATATACAAATATGGTAAACTTTAAGAGAAACAAAGAAATAAACATAACTCCAGATGCTGATTACTTTAGGTAAAGGAGAGAGGATGTAATGGGATAGAGGAAGGGGGTGCAATTGGGCAGGAACTCACAAAACAAAGGCTTTCAAAAGTAAAAGTAGTATTTTATTTGTTAAGCTGAATTATTTGTTAAGCTGAATTTCATTATTTTTAGATGCTACTTACATATCATATATATATTCTTCTAATATGCTGTATTTCACAAAAGAAAGTATTATATTCACAATAAAATAGTATGCATTTTATTTATAATAAAAAGTGAAAACAAAATCTGACTCGGGAAAATTAATCAAGTCTATGTTTTAGAAAGATTATTCTGATTGACATAAAGAAGAGAGACTACTATCTAGAAGGGAGAAAATTAGATGCTAATCTGGGCAGTGCCAAACACAGATTTAAAGAGAAACCTGCCAACATATAATTGACAGAATTGCTGATAGAATGGATGCAATGACACTAATGTAATTTGTGCCTGGCATATTATTAGGAGGATGGTTATGATGACCAAAGAGAACTGTAGGAAAACCCCTAATTGAGAGGTGGGAAGAGAAATAGGAGCAAGCAATGGAAAGGTAGAATGACACCCACAGGAGAACAGCATCCCAAAAGCCAAGTGAGGATTAAAAAGCTAGCATTTGGACTGGATAGCTTCAATCACTGAGAAGTATGTTTTGAGGCCCTCTGCTGATACAAAATGTATAGGAATAGTTTTCTGAACTTGAAGACAATGGAAAGGTTTTGGAATAGCAGCTGTGGGAAATACAGTAGGGGAAAAAAAAAAAAAACAGAGACAAAAAGACTCCCCACAAGGAGGGTCCATAGCTGAGGTCGGATGGCATGAATTTGTAGGAGAAGCCAGCTGGCAGCATTCATGACCTACTCCAGCAACTTTGGCTACCATGAAGCAGCTATCAAGGTTGTAAACATCATCATGTCTAAGACCTACAGACACACAGGTTTAGGCTAACTAGTCAGAGGTCTATTAAAAACCTTAGGCAGGCCAGGCACAGTGGCTCACGCTTGTAATCCCAGCACTTTGGGAGGCCGAAGTGGGCGGATCACGAGGTCAGGAGATCGAGACCATCCTGGCTAACACAGTGAAACTCCATCTCTACTAAAAAAACAAAATACAAAAAATTAGCCAGGTGTGTCGCCTGTAGTCCCAGCTACTTGGGAGGCTGAGGCAGGAGAATGGTGTGAACCCGGGAGGCGGAGCTTGCAGTGAGCCGAGATTGCGCCACTGCACTCCAGCCTGGGTGACAGAGTGAGACTCCGCCTCAAAAAAAAAAAAAAAAAAAAAAAACCTTAGGCAGTAGAAAGGAGAAATCATAAAATCCTTTATACTGGGAAATATCATTTCTATGGATAACTAAATGTTTCCATTTAGGCATAGCTTTTTCAGGATTCTGGTTGGTCGGAATTTTCAGGAAAACTTTGTAAGAGGAAGGTTACTGGAGACAGACTACAGCCCCCACTGCAGCAGTTGACTTCAAGGCAATAGCTGACATTCATCCTCTCTCCTTAAAATCACCCATCTGAGTCCACTTTGCATTGCTATGAAGGAATTGCATTGCTATTGAGGAATAGAGGTTTATTTGGCTCATGGTTCTGCAGGCTGCACAGGAAGCATGACACAAGAATCTGCTTCTGCTGAGGGCCTCAGGCTGCTTGCACTCATGGTAGAAAGCAAGGGGAGCAGACACCACATGACAAGAGAGAGGGGAGGCAGGTGCCGGGCTCTTTTTAGCAATCAGTTGTCACGGGAACAAAGGGAGCCAGAACTCACTCATTACCATGAGGATGACACTAAGCTATTCATAAGGGATCCACCCCCATGACACAGACACCTCCCACTAGACCCCATCTCCAGCATCTCCAACACTGGGGATCAAATGATATTTGGAGGGGATAAATACCCAAACCATAGCACCACCCATGGTAGAGTCTCTCTTTTGGTTAACACTTTTCCTGGTTTGTGCTGCTTGCCTAGTACATAGACCCAGGTTCTCATCTCTAGGCTCTGTTTTCATGGCCTTCTCAGACCTAGTTACTGTGATCGCTCTTTTATAGTCACAGTGGGCCTGAGAAGCAACATATTCCACATTGTGTAGCAGCAGCCCTGCTTCTAAGATTATTGTACTCAAATTACACCTGCCAAGCAAAGAAGATTGACATATCTCAGGGCAACTGCTGCCGCAGGGGCTGCGGTCTCCTCTGGCTGCCATTATGACCTTGTTACCCGGTGTGGTAATTTTGTACTTTGCTTCTGACACTTAAGTGCTACCACCTGACTTCTGCTCTTCAAGGATCCAGTCATCCCCATTGCTAGTAGGGAGCTCAGTTCTCTTACAGAATCTCCTACCATTAGCCCCCACCTACAAAGAACATTCCACCACTTAGCTTCTTGAAAACTCTGGTATCTTAAAAAGCAATGCATCCCTGTTATTTTGACAAGCAATTTTAAAAATATGATCAGAATTCTTCTGGCCCTGGAGAAATGAATAGCATTTCTTGCTTCCCACACTTGACTCCATAATCTTTTCAGAGGCAGCACAGGACTTGCTCTGAAGGAAGTGTTTCAAAATCGAGGTGGCTCCCACCCCTTGCAGTCCATCCATTTTCTCATACTCATGCAAGAAAACTTGTTGAGGTCAGCGCCTTCATCCTTTTGGATATTTGCTGGTTTGCCTTTTCAAGACTTTTCTATTCCAAGTCTTCTTTTCTGTTCCTCGTTTTCTTTCTCTCACGTCTTTTTCTCTAACCTGCTTCCAATCTGTCCCAGGAGTTCCACTTCAATTTTCATCCCAGCTGCACTTGCTTGTCCTCTTATCACTACCTGTGGCAGAATACTCCACTATGGTCAAACTGTCGTTGGTCTCCACGGCCATAAACGTGACTGACTTTAGAAAGCAAGGGTGCTCTGATAGAAAGAGAGAAATTAAAAGATGGCTCTCCATTGCCACAGTGAAAGGTACAATTACAGTGACAGGGACAGTCATAATGATGGCAAAGGCACCAACCTGGGCACCTTACTGGTTCTTGGAGAAATTAATGTGCACATATCACATTCACTCACTCACACACACATGCCATATGACAATACTGTTTGTCTTTTTCCTAACTGAACAAAGAAAAGGCAACAATACCTTTCAAAGGGTTTGTTCTTTCTGAGTAAAATTTTGTAAGACTGCGATCAAGGAAGGTGCATATGAGAGACAAAGATAAAAAAAAAAATCACTTGCTCCGAGAATTTGCTAAACGATTTCATATTGCTGAATTTCACCCATTAATACGTGTATTTAGATCCTAACAATGACTGACAGACATTTGGAAAGCAAAAATAAAAGTTGACCTGCAGACAGTTCAAATTTGCCATATGCTTGCTGTCACTGTTAACAGTTTGTGGACCATTCTAATTTATTCTTCAGCTGACTAAGCCAATGTATTTTAAAGAAAACGAATACCTGTTCCTTTTTCAAACATGACATTTTATTTTTCCTTATTACTCATAAGTATGGACAGCAAAATAAATGATTAACAGCCAATCTCAGGTAGTTTTAGTGGGAAGAATGGGTTTTCCTCCAGGACCTATCACGAATGTTTTCCATTTAAATGATTGCCTCACTGAGGAAATTCTCAAACGATATTCATCAGTTACAATTTCAGAAACGAACATTTCCTTGAACATAACCTAACCTAATTTTTAAAGGGAATTTATTAGTGCTCAGAAGTCACTACAATTTAAAGTGTGTGTGTGTGTGTGTGTGTGTGTGTGTGTGTGTGTAAACATAAGGCTAAAAATACTTTTTTAATCTAATTTTTTACCTTAAAAAAATTCATTATTCTCTTTTGTCTAGTGTGTTTAAGTAATCACATATCCCGTTAACTGGTGGCCCTGTCCTTTTCTTTCTTAAAACTTTATTTCTTAGGCAATATTATGGATGGAAGAAATTTTTCATGGAAAGAGAAAGAAGTTAGTATTTGTTGTTTTAAATTTTGACACAGTACAAACCTACTCACCCTTTTATCTTCGTGTATTTAAGGATAGGTCTTCAACTTTTCCAGTTTCAATGAGATAGCTCAAATGGTCAAGCTTATTTATAATAAAAAATGTCATTAAAACCTGAGTAAATAAAATAAGATATTTGCTAATTAATTTTTAAATATTCTAGATTATGTGGGTTGTGTTACACAGTCTTTGTCCCTCATGCTTTTACCATAGTGCTTGGCTTGTGGTGGGACTCCATAAATGAATTTTAATTGGCCAGTTAGTAAGTCACTAATAGTTATTTATAAGTTATAATGTGTATTCTTTTTTTAAGAGTGCCATATTTATGTCAAAATGGAAAACAAACCAAACATCTAAGACATTTATAACCATTAATTATTTTATAATAAAATATTTTATTGCTTCCATTTTAGCAAACTTTACTTTTCTTCAAATATCTCTTCTGAGGACTTTTAAGACATGAATCACGATAATAATAAAAAATTTGCAGTAGGTCCTAGAAATTCAACCTAAAAATAGAATTAAAATGGTTTCGTTGCAGGCGTGTGCTCATTTTCATACTGATGGACAAAGCCCTTGGGGAATATTCGAAAGTTGATATACAACTCGCCCAACACCATCTCACTGGTTTTTCACAGCAGGTCCTCGTTGTCCTTTAAATTCTCAGACAGAGGAGGATGGGACGACGCGCAGCTTCAGCTGAAGCCCCCACAAGACTCTCCGCTCATCTGCAGAAGCGAAGGCCTGGGCAGCTGGCACCTTTCCATAGGGAGCTACAAACACCACTTCGCCACATTGCAAGTTTCCCCAGGCAGCAGATGTCTTGTAGCTGCCGTTCAGGTCTGCAACTCTACCAAGCCACCTGTACAACATATTTAATGTACCGACAATGGTTTTGTTGCTACTTAGAAAAGATTTTTTTTAATTTTTCTCTGAACTCCTGTATGGTCAGTGGGATTATTGGATAAAATCAGGCCTCATGTTGCAAAACTTTTGTATTCAAATACAGAAGGAAAAAAAATCAAATCAAACCCTCCACGTTTTTCCCCTTCCCACAACTTCCCCCAAATGATTCAGAAAAACACATTCACCTTCTATATTATCATAACTAAATTTTGTTCCTTAAAAAAAACTGATGTTTCCAACAAACAGTTTTTCCGAAGCACTGTACAGAAAAGTTAAACAACTAACTGTTAAATTGCTCACCCTTTTGCATTACTCTGACACACCAAACTTTAACGTGCCTCTACCAAAACTTAAAACTGTGAGTGCAATCCTCTTAGAACATTGTAAGGAAAACATTCTGACTTTTTCGACTGCTAAAGTGATACTTACAGTACCATTGTGTCTGTTTGGTTTAAAAATGAGGTTGATAATGATAATGTTTTTCCATAAGATGATCTTCTACTTTTTAATGATACCCGTTGTTTCCCCTACATAAATGACTAAATCCTTACAGAATCTCTGTCTTGATTAGCACTCCTGCTAGTAAAATTTCACATACTAAATCAGCACCAGCTGTAGCAAGAAAGAAAGAAAAAGGCAAGTGTAAATGTTCCATATGCCCCACCAAATTGGCATCTGTGTCAGTAACCCTTTTTTTCAAAACTATTGTATACATACATTCTCTTAAGTGTTTTGTTCACAGAATACTGCTAACAAAATTCTCTCTGTTGGCATATCAAGGAAAGAGCCTGTCCTTGGTACCACTCAACTGCACAAATACAATTGCTTCTTCTTCTCTTGTGGTCACAGACATACCTGAAGGTTCTATTTATGTAAGTTGCTTCAAATTAGTGAACCTTTATTTTGACATCTGTTCTCTGTAATGTGGCACTGCAGTGTTCTTACAAAGCTGCTTTACAGTTGGAGTTTAATTGGTAGCAACACCAAACAATGTCAGAGAGACAAGAGAATTTATTTTGGTCACCTAGAAGGTATCTCAGAGACCAGGCTCAAAACAAATAACCTGGAATGTGGTGGTGGTGGTGGTGGTGGTGGTGGCGGTGGTGGTGGTGGTGGTGGTGGTGGTGGCGGCGGCGGCGGTGGTGGTGGTAGAAAGTATTTGTGATCACTCTCATCTTGTCACCTGTATTTTCTTCAAAGGATGAAGTGCCTCTCCACAGATAAAGATTTATAGATACAGATGTATCAGAAATAGTCCCAAAGATATAAACGCTATGTTATGGTAATTAAGGTGACTTTCAACAGTTTACCCATTGAGACCTTAGGAATTGCTGGAAATCTAGTAGAGATTGTTCTTCAGGAACATACTCAAACTATCACTATGAATCCTAAAATATCCATGGGAAATCTACAGAGAAAAACATCCTAATTAAAAGATCTGCCTACAAGGATCTACATACAGGCTATGTCCCAGAGATGCCTGCCTCAGAGGTTAAAAAGAAATTATTTTCTCCTCTCATCAGAACATGATTATCTTGGCCAAGGCCAGTGCACATGGAAAAAGAGAACTGGCCACACCCTTCTTGGTGGTGCCCATCGATTCCTGCTCATGCCTTCTGGCAAGTGTTTACAACACTGTGTTGCTCTTATTTGCTTACATTTCTACCATTCTTTGAGAGTTGGGATAGTAGACCTGAATCTATTCCAAGACAGATTTCTGTAGATACCCAAAAAATGTTTACCCAAGTCAAAATCGTTAAAAAATGCAAAAAGTTTGTTGTAATAAGCTAAATGAACTGGTTAGTGAACAACTTACCAACTGGGTTCAAAAGACCGAAATAAATGAGGACAAGGGGAAATGGATAAAAATTTCCTTTGCTTCCCTGAAGTTTTTCTGCTATATAAATACCCTTTCGTGGCGGGACGCAGTGGCTCACGCCTGTAATCCCAGCACTTTAGGAGGCCGAGGCGGGAGGATCATGAGGTCAGGAGATCGAGACCATCCTGGCTAACACGGTGAAACCCCATCTCTACTAAAAATACAAAAAATCAGCCGGGCGTAGTGTCACACGCCTGTGGTCTCAGCTACTCACAAGGCTGAGGTAGGAGAATCGCTTGAACCCAGAAGGCGGAGGTTGCAGTGAGCCGAGATCGCGCCACTGCACTCCAGCCTGGGCGACAGAGTGAGGTTCCATCTCTAAACAAATAAACAAATAAATGCCCTTTCATCAGATGTAATCCTATGGCTATTGAGATTTAGTGAAACTTACACTTGATAACTCTTTCCTATTTAAGGATCAAAATCAGAAGACATTTTGGTTAGATGTTAAAAATCTCTTGGATCTGAAGAGGCAGTTTACCTAAATTCATAGTATATGGTTTAGAGAAGGGCATGTAGGGAAAATCCACAATTATAGAATATATTGCAAACTGCTTTTTAAAAATATGAACATTCTTTTTATTAAAAACATGTAGCTTCCTTCACAAGGCAGCAGCCCCTCTCCCAAGTATTGTGAATAGCCAGATCTGCTAACCTCCTCTCAGGGAAGCTGTGGAAGGAATTCCTGCACGGGGAAGTTTGGAGGAGACGATCCAATGTTTATATACATGAAATTCAACTATGCTTACCGACTCTATAGTGATCTTGCAGCTGTTAAAATAATCACAATGGGGGAGAGATGAAAAAAGTTGGTTAATGGGTCCAAATATACAGTTCCATTGAAGAAATAAGCTCCATATTATTATGTTTCATATTAGAATAGGGGATGATTATAGTTAACCACAATGTATTGTATATTTCAGAATAGCTAGAAGAGAGGACATGAAATATCCCCAACAAATAGAAATGATAAGTCCCTGAGGTGGTGGATATTCCAGATACCCTGACTTGATCATTATATATTCTGTACATGTAATAAAATATCACATGTACCCCATAAATGTGTCCAAATATTATGTATCAATAAAAAAGAT